CTCTAAGTAAGCCCCAATTAAATGCTTTTTTTAAAAATAAGAGTTGTCATGGCCATGCTGTCTCTTCGAAGCCATGGAACTGTGACTAAAACAGCCTGCTAGTTCTTAGTGCCATCACTTCCCCACAGAGCCTCTGTGGCTGTGGTTTTGTGGGAAAGGTTCAGTCTTAAGAGGAAAGTGGCAATAAGGCGACGCTGTGTGTGGAGAAGAGGTATAGCTCGAGCTGACACTGGATATGGATCCCAGTCGTTTTAATGAGACAGGGAAAACTACTGGACATATTAGAGCCTCGGTTTCCCCTTTGGTTCAAAGAGGTGGAAATAAATTAATAAGTAATTCTAAAAGATTATGCATGCACATAAAGAGGTTTCTTTGGAGGCACGACTTAAGATCTTGCTGTCAAATGAGGAAAATGTTCAGCGTGTGGAGAGGCCGGTTATGCCTCAGTTTCTGTCCTGCTCACCATGTGTAGCTGGGAGCACATCAAACTCTTAGAAGCCTGCTCTTCATGTGAGTGGGATGGGATCTGTTTAACCACGTGGCTTTCATTGTCACCTCAGCCCCGATGTCCTCTAGTGACTTAGTACTCATGAAGCTTCTCACTTTCTGTGGTTTCAGCATGGAGGTGGCAATGTTCTAGGCCACAGCTGCAGCTTTGCAGAGGTGGGGTCCCCTGCCCCGCTCCATCATGAGATTGCCCTTTCTCAGGCTCAGGTGAGCCGCAGGCAGGGGGTGGGGGTGGCTTTCCCAAAGAGCTGGTGACTCAGGGGTCTGGGCCTCTCTTAATTGAACACATACTTTCTTCATTCCATCCTACTGCTTCTGATTCAGAGAGTAGCTTAGGAAAGAACATGACCACTGTCTCCTAATTTAGTGCTTTTAAACATCAGCAGATGACCACTTATGCGCACAAATGTTGGTGAAGGGGATGTTTGACTTTATACAAGGGTAAAGTAAATGAACTTCTGTGGTACTACTCGTTGACTAATTTTAAAAATCTGTAGTTTCATGTTTGAGGGATTTTTTTTAACACATTATTTTCTTCTGGTGGGAATCAAGTCTGTCCTTGAAAGTCAGTAGGCTTTCCTTGCTTAGTGAATTCACTCCAATTAGGCTAAACCAGTGGTCCTCACCTTCCTAATGCTGAGATCCTTTAAGACAGCTCCCAAGTTGAGCTGACCCCCCAACATAAAATTATTTTCGTTGCTACTTCATAACTGTAATTTTGCTATGGTTATAAATCATAACATAAATATCTGATTTGAATGATATCTGATATGCAACCCCTAGTGGGGTTGAGACCCACTGTTTGAGAACCCCTGCTTTAAACTATCAGCTACGAGATCCATTTGTTCTATTTGTTAGAGGGAAAGGTAAGAAAGAGACCTAATTCCTTAAGGGACTGTTAGTGGGATCTTCTGCTGGAGAGTGGGCTGTAGCTTAATGAAAAGACCTGGAATGTTCCTGTGCCTATACGTGACATCACTTCCTTCCATAAGGTTAATATAAAGCAACCTCAAGAATTTCTGGTCACTTCCAAGCGTTAAAGGCCCTCTAGTCAGTAATCAATACAACTAGTCCATTGTGAATATCATTTAATGTCATTACCCTTCACCTTTCCAGGCCTACGCCCAGACAAGCTTACTCACTACCTACAGGGTGGTTAGGAGAAGTTGGTCTCCTTTTTCTCTCCCCTAACTTATTTATCTTTGTGTATCTTCCAGCACATACTTAGAATCCCGGCAGGGCTGGCACATGCAGGTCAGGAGCAGAGACAGGGACTGGGCAACACTGGCGTGAGCGGGTGTCAAGTTTTCTGGGCCCTTAGCAGGTGCTAGAGCTCTCCCCCTTTCAAGGGCTCATCCGGGAACTTTCTGAATACACTCTCTTGGACCCCAGCCCTGGGTCCTGGCACCTGTAAATCCCTCAATGCATGTAAGTAAGGCTACAACCTCTGCCCGCGGAAGCACGGACTTTTAAGAGTCACCTCTTATAATTACCAGAGTACTTCCTATTGTTTGGTCTGTTGTCTTCTTCTAGCAACCTTCTTGGGACAGATCCAAATTGCAGCTACCCTGATTTTCACTTAAAATAAACTTTTAAGGGAGGAAGAATTTATTCTGATGCATGGCTCAGGGGATATAGTCCGTCTTGGTGGGGAAGGCGTGGCTTGGTGAAAGGAGTTCGTGCCAGTCAGGATATCGATAGCTGGAAATGGGCTGGGGTCACTGTCCTCTGACCTTACTCCCACAGCCCCATGACTGCTGGCTAGTCCCCATATCTCAAAGATCCCACAACCTTCCCAAATAGCGCCAGCTGGGGACCAGATGTTCACACACATGAACCCGTGGGCGATATTTTACATCTAAACCATAGCAGCTCCTGGCTGCCCTAGGCTCATGGCCATCCCATGGTGAAAAATTGTGTTCAGTCCAAGTTCAAGATTCCCCGTAGTGCTAACAGTTCCAACACTGTTCAAAAGTCCCGAGTCCAGAGAGTCTTTGGAGACTCAAGGTGGGGTCTGCTGGTTGTGAGTCGGCACAGCTGAGGCTTCTGCTTCTCCTCACGCTGCCGAGGAGCTCCCCTCCCCCCTGCCTGGTCCTTGCTCCCTTCAGGCGGATGATGCTTCCATTTCTCCACACTTTACAGTTGTCTTAACATCCACATTGTGGTTTCTGAGTCTCATCCATTCTTCAGAATAGAACCGCCCCTGCCCCTGCCCCTGCCCCTGGCCCTGCCCCTGCCCCTGCCCCTGCCCCTGCCCCTGGCCCTGCCCCTGCCCCTGCTACAGGGGCAGCTTCTGACTCATCATCCCTGAATTCCATCAGGTACTCTACTTAGTTATTCTCTTTTACACGTGGTCTGCTACCCGTGGCCTCTATGAACTCTGAGAACTGTCCAATCCTAGTGTGATCTCGTCTCACTTGCCCTCAGAACTGGGGCCAGAATTCCTTTGTCCTTAAGTTTTGTGAGTAGATACTGATGTCCATCCGGGAATTCTTCATCTAGGGGTTGAATCAAGGCTTTTTCCCTGGGGTTTGGTGAGGCAGGTTTGGTCCACTTTTTGTTTCTAAAGTGCAAGTGTTCAGCAAGTTCTTTAAGAAAAATCCTCCACTTTCCCAATTCCTGATGCTTTCATAATGGCCTTGATGTACAAGAGATCGGAGCACCCCCCCTTACCACTATATTTTAAAAAAAATAATTCCACAGTGTCCTTAAACTTCACTTTGAACATGCCGTCTAATGTTCAGGGATTTAAGCACGGTGGTAGGAATAAACATCTCCATTGTTACACTTTCCATGTAGATACGCATTTGATCTAATACACATGGTTCAGCTTTTGCAATCTATTGACAGTCGAATCCCTTAACCCAGTTAATTGGAAGACTAAAATGACAGTCTTCCTAGTGCCCAAACACTCGGCATTGCACAGATCTGAATGGGTGCTTGGGCTAAGTTTCTGCCTTCAAGGAGTTTTATGATTGCATTTGATGCTAAGTTCTAAAACTTTCTGGACACAAGAAAAGATTGTTTAGAAAGTTGGATATCACACTTCACCAAGAGCATCAAATCTAAGTAGTGAAGACAGTGGAGGATCTCAGGGAGTTAGTGGCTGAGCAGAGTCAAACCTCATCAGGGATGGAGACATAGGACCTGACAGCCAGCCATCCTGCTCCTAGATTTATTGACCTGTGTCTTGACTTTATGTGTGATGAGTCTTTTTGTTGGGCCACATTGTTATGGAATTCCCTAACTCACTGAGATGCTGTATCAACGCTATGGGCTGATCTTAGGCTCAAAAATCTCAGAGGAGACTCAGGGCAATGACCAGAACGCCTATGTTGGTCATGAGTGCAGGGAAGGGCTGGAGGCATGTGACTCTGACATCTGTTGCTTAGTACTTGTCATCTTGCCCTGTAGTTCTAACAAATTCATCATTCTATATTTCAGACATCAACAAAAACCTCATAAAGGCTTTGTGGCCCCCAAGGGACAGGTACAAAATTTAAAAACACTCTACAGTAAGTTAAACAGCAGATTTGATTATTGTCTTCCCTCATTCATTTGCTTCTACTATATTTGCTGACCAATAAATATGTACCAGTTAATATGGTACTGGCTTCAAGGCATTTCAAAATCTAGTGATGAATTCAACATGAAGCTTAGCTATTTCAAAGAGAAAAGGCCTGCGCATAGCTGGTTGTCAACTACTTCCCTGTAGAAAATGTAAATTTACTTGGTTTGGTTTTACAACCACATGATTGCAATATAGAAAAAAATGTAAAAACATTAGGGGAGTATGATGTTATTGTTAACATTTTCCTTCTCATTAATTCCTAGTAATTTGGGATAGAGTGTATGCAATTATGAAGAGTAGTCATCCTATAAACCCTCATTTTTGTGTTGGTATGAATAAAAAATTCATAAATGCAAAACAGGTGGATTTTGTCTTAATATGAAAACAACTATTGGGTTCTTTTGAAAGGGTGGAAATTAGCCACAGATATATAATAGGTTGAGATAATTGTTTTTCTCCTATTGGCTCCAGTGGGTTTCTATAGTCTTTAGATCTTGTTATTCATTGATTATATGAATCGATAGACTAAAGGGTATGTTTAAGAAAAAAATAGATGAAGTGTGGTTCTACCTCACTGAAATTCTGTGAATAAAGGAATTCTAAGTGATACTAGATACTTTAGATACTTTTGTCATCCATGTTCCAAGAGCTAAGGCTCTTAGAACTGATGGGCTAATATTGACAGGCTACTTCAAAATGCTTCCTGTTTCTCTTTGTGTCAGTCACAATCCTTTTCTCAACATGTCAGAGATGGTTTTGTCCACAATTTATCATTTAGTTACAAAGGTTTAACATCTTGTGTTGGGTGTTTACTCAAGTTGTAAGACATTCCTGTGGGAGCAATGGAAGGTGGCTTTCAATGGATCTGTAAACATTGTTTAATCATAAGAACTAACATTACAACCGCTCATTTCTGTAGCCACACAGGAGTAGTAAGTGAGTTTCTGCTTTCCAAGTTTATGTAGCTGGCTTCAGATACCATTCTGCATGGTGATCTTTTATCCCCAGAGAAGTAGTGCTGGTTTGTACTGAATCGGAAGGACATCTTGTTAAGCAAACAGTCCTTCTGGAAGTGTCACAAGCAAGTTTTGAAGAATAGATCTTTATTGCATCTAAAATTCAAAAGATACTTTAATCAATTCTTAGAGAATTTAACACAATGTATTTAAATCATGCTCACCCTTCAACTATACTCCTTTATCTACTCTCTCCACCACCACCCAATTTTGAGTTTTCTCCTTCTTTGCCTCCCCCATCATGTCCATTTGTGTTGTCAAACTACTCTTGGGAGTGAGGTTGACTTACCAAGGGTTACATAATTAAAGAAAGCTGACTCTCCTCCCAGAATCTCTCAAATACAATTTTGTTCCCACTTCCTCACTCAAGTACATTTTGGCAGTTTGGCTAGAGCTTGCGCAGGACTTGTGCATGTAATCATAATTGCTATGAGTTTGTTTGTGCGAATGCCCTGTTGTGTCTGCAAAACACTGTTTCCTTGATGCTATCCATTTCCTCTGGCTCTTATAATCCTCCTCCCCTTTTCTGCTAAGATACCTGGCCCTTGGAGGAGTGTTGTCATGTAAGTCCCATTTAGGGCTGAGGACTCCGCAGTCTCTTATTCTGTGAACATTGGCCAGTTGAAGATCTCTGTGTTAATTGTCATCTACTGTAAGAAGAAGCATCTCTGATGACAGTCAGCAGATGAACTAATCTTTGGGCACAGTAATATGTCATTGGAAATCAATTTAATACCTTGCCCATTTAGTAGAACAAATAGCATTAGGTTTTCCTCTAGGGTCTATGACCTGTCTAGTCATAAGTTCTTGACCTTGTTAACAGTGACAAGAATGGGATCCATCTACTCTAGAAAACATGTTTTGTGGTCAAATATATTTGAAAGAAAACAAAAAGACCTCCCAATGGGATTGTCTTATTCACACTGCAGTAGTTGTTAGGGAAAAAGAATCCACCCTTACCATTACCTGGCTCCCAAACAAGTTATTGCAATCTGGTTGCCTTTGCCAACTCCCTTTCTTCCCACCTCCAGATTGGAGTGAAAGCAAAACCTGCCATCAAGGTCCATAAGGCATCCAGGAAGAAGATGGAAGAGGTTTTCGAGTAAGCTCCCCGTCAACAAAATGAAAAAGAGATAACAGAACCTCAAGTATTGTTGACTACCCAGAAATTGTCTGATAACCCCAATGAGCAATGGTGGTGATGGGCAGAGGGGCTGTCTAGAACTGAATGAAGGTGATCTGCAGCTGGTTGGGAAACACTCACTGGAATGAATTCACATTTATATACAAGAAGCGGCATGTCCAGGCTCACTGAGCAAGAACTGTATCTAATTTAGTTGATCTTCTATCCATTCTGAAAAAGCTGTATTATCATATGAGGAGTCAAAGATCTCATTTTGTATGAAAGAGCAGCAAGTGGAAATAGGACCACTAAACTCAAACTTTGGGGCATTTTATACTATTGCTTAAAGAAGACTTCATTGCTACTAATGTTTCTGTCCATGTAGCCTGCAGTCAATGAGTACATTTTCAGTGTTGGGAATATGCTCGCCTTCCATTTTCCTTTGGGGGGAGATCTTCAACTTCTCTAATCTAATGGTGAGTTATCTTCTAGCATGACTGCAGGTGGTGTTCATGCTTGTTTCTAATATGTTATTAATCACTGACCCATCAATAAGGACCACTCCTATAAGGTAAATGGGATATAGCCTTACTGAAACACAAAGAACAGTTGCCTTGGACAATCCTGGAGTGATTTAACATGGCTGCCACCTCCTCCTCTCCATCCTCCTCTTTTTAGAATACATTCTATTTGTCCTATTGCCCATCCAAATACATTTTGTTCATATTCATGTCTACAACCACTTCCTCTTTCTTTGGACACATTTCAGCATGTCACCTTCTTAAAAGTTTTGTGTGTGTGTGTGTGTGTGTGTGTGTGTGTGTGTGAGAGAGAGAGAGGAGGGAAGGAGAAGAGAGATCTATTTCTTCTAGCTCATCTTTGAGATATATATTATTTCTTTTCTTTCTCTTGATATAATCTATAATCCATCAGTGAGACTTTCCCCTAAGCTTTTTTGTTTGATAGTCTTAATTTTTCACTTCCAGTTACTTATATTTCATCTTGGCTTTTCTTCAGAGGTTCTATGTCTTTTCATATCTTGAACTGTTTTATTATCCACATCCAAATGTTTGTTGTGTTTTGGGGGTCTTCATTCAAACATCTATTCTTATTCTCCTTAAGCTCCTTAATCATATTTATAAGTGTTGTATTTTTAAAAAGCGGTACTCGAGAGAAAGACGACGTGCAACAGAATTTGGGTGGAGGGTTTTTTTTTTAATTGGGAGAGGTGAATGGGAAAAGGGGGGAGACCAGCCTCTGAGGACAGGCGCATCAGAGAAAAGACAGGCAGAGAGAGAGAGAGAGAGAGAGAGAGAGAGAGAGAGAGAGAGAGAGAGAGAGAGAGAGAGAGAGCGCTGGGCAGGGCCTTTTAAAAAGGGAACACAGTGAATATGTACAGGTGGTGCTCTTAGTGGCTGCAGCTGAGGACGTATCTTGTCAGAACCCCAAGAGCAGGCCAGTAGAGATGCCTGAATACTAGCAATAAGTACTATTTCAAAGTTCTTGTCTTGTGAATCAGCCAAGTTGCCCTTTTCAGGGGTTATTACAATGGGGGTACACACTGAGCCCAGAATGTGCTGCCTACTGCAATGCTGACTGAACTCGTTGGCTTGGCCTTGTGACAGTGACCACAGCTGTAATGAGTTCACAAGAGCAACCACTGTGTTGTGTCCAGAATACAGCCTTTCACAGTGTTTCCCCTCCCCAGATTCTGGCTCTTACACTCTTTCTGGATACCTGAGCCTTGCTGGGAGGAAGAGGGGTTAACACAGCCTATTCTTGTGATATTTTATGTCTTGAGACAGAAAAGCTGTGGCATGTGTGTTTCACAGAAATGCTTCCTCCAAGATCTACGCTTTCTGTTGTGTACTTCCGTAGTTCTGTAAGTTAGAGAACTCATCTAATAAGAATTCTCTCTCTAAGAGTAAAATTCCTGCCAGCTAGTGGTGCCTCACACTTTTAATCTGAGCAGAGGAGGGTGGATCTCTAAGTTCGAGGCCAGTCTGGTCTACGGAGAAAGTTTCAGGGCAACCAGAGCCACACAGAGAAACCCTGTCTTGAAAAAGAAACCAAAACACCACCCCTCAAAGAAAGAAAGGAAGGAAGACAATTACAGCATAAAAGGAGGTATACTGGAAATTGGTTCAGTTAGAAAAGTGCCCCTCTATTTCTGGCTGGACAGAGGGCCTGAGCAAGCTGGAGTCATGATGGGATGGGGCTGAAGGGCTACAAAGTCACACAGCTTGGAGGCTGCATCTATACGGGAAGTAAGGGCTGTAGAGGTTGTGCTTAAGAAGAGTTATCACTGGCTGGACCTGTGAAAGGGGAAGGCAAGGAGAGGCATCGAGGACCCCAATGTCACAAACCCCCCAGCCCACCATGTACCTTCTGCTGCATGGATGGATCGGAATTTGGGGCTGATGGGACATCCCACCATGATGAATAGGCTGAACATGGCCTGCCTGGAAAGCGCATAGAGACAGACAGCTTGACTACATTGTAAACATGGCCTATGGTAGGAACAGGAAGCTGAAAAGAATAGAGTGTGGAAAGCAGATTGGGGATGTGGGGGGCTGTACAATTTGTATGATGTGACCATTTACTAACATTTGTGGAGATATTACATTGTTTTCCCCCTGGATTTGTGGCCCCAAAGCTACCCGCATGTGTCAGTAAAGAAATAAAGGAATACCTTTATGATGTCGTCTGCCACTGAGTTCTCCTGAACCTTTGTGGGTTTACGTTCAGCTTTCCAGTCCCTTTAAGGGGCTATCGACTTTCAGGAAGGAGAACTCTCTGTGATCCTACAGCAGCTTCCTCCATCACTGTTGTAGCAACCCAGACAGGAGCCTGAGCATCTCTCAAATTTGATTCCCTTGTAAATGGAAATATATCTCATCAAGTCAAGTTATTAGTTCTGTTTGGTTATTTTTGTTGTTGTTGTTGTTAAAGGTGTTGTTACATTTGCAAGTTTGTACAATTTGGCAGCTGCAGGGAAGGATTTAAACGTGTTTGGTAGCAAGAAAGTTCAATTCAAATTACATGGAGAAGGAAAAAAAATGAGACCTGAATGAACTGTTTTCTGTGGAGCAATGGACAGAAGGCAGATGCCCATTTCTTCATGATCTATTGACAGAAGTCATGTCCCTGAACACAAGTTACTCCAGTGTTTGTGGAAAACATGATGTTCTCAAACCCGCTCCTCACCTCTTCCCCAGTGATTTGGGAATGTGGGAAACAGTCTTCTAGTGTTTTCCAAAAAGATGGTGATCCTAAGGTTCTAAAAATAGCACATGGAGACACCAAAGATGATGCCTTAATTAAATTTGTGTTGACCATGGACCATACTGAAAGGAGGGTGTGGTACCCACAGAGCCTGGGGATGGGTTAGGAAGAAAGACTTACCCTGAGCTCGGTGCTTTAGATGATGCTCATTGCATCCAGTGCTTTGCCATTGTCTTTCTTGGCCTCAGTCCTTCATAAGCCTTTCCAGGGGTTGGGCATGATGAGCAGAGGTGTTACCAGTTGTTATGATCCTTTCTATGATAGAAAACATGGATTGTTCTAGAAAATGTGAGTCTATTTCCAATATGTCCTCCAAGCTCTGGAGCTAAGTTTGAGTGGCAGTGGCCACCTCTTCCAAGTTAAGCCAGTAAGGAGGCCAGTTAGCAAGACAAGTAGGTTCAAGTCAGATTTCTAAATTTATCCTTCAAGTGGGATTTGTTGGGGTCAACTATATGTCATGTAACTGTGCACTGAGACCTTGAAAAAAACCCCCAAGAGCCTGCTCTACAACCATGGTGAGGTGGAGAGTAGCAAATAGGAAGTCCAATAGTCACCAGGTCTAGGGCTGGAATGACAGTGAGTACTATGGTTTGGATGCTGTCTTCATAACCAATGTTGGAATTTAGCAGCCAATGCAACTGTCTTAAAAGGTGCAGAACTTCAAGAGACAACCAAGGCCATCCTTGTGCAAGCCAGTCCAAGAAAAAGAGCAGTTTAGCTTGAGTCTTCTCCGTCACACACACGAGCCTTTTCGTCAGAGTCCTACACAGAAGCAGCCTTTCCATCATGGAGTTCCAGCCCCCAGAATCACAGCCAAATTAATTATTATTGTTTATTCATTACATGGTCTGTGATATTCTCTGAAAGCAGCAGGAACAGGCAAAGACCAGGGAGACATGGGCATCTATAAAAGCACCCAAGAGGAAATCACGGCTGGCTTCCTGGTGGCTGTCTCAAGGAAGGCTACCTGTGAGACAGAGGGGAAAGGGAGATGGAAAGATTCCATTTAGAGAAACCTGCATATGGGAACGCTCATATCTACAGTAAGTATTTGCACACTGGAAGTCATCTGCTTGAAGGAATGAAAGGCCCTGGGAGAGGGAAGATGGGGTGACTTTTGAGAATCGAGGATGGCGACACAGGTTTCTTTGCTTATGTTATGGACAGCTCTTTCTCCAGTTCAGGGGGTGGGGAATAAAAGGGGTGGAGGCAGCGACCTTGAAGAGAAGATGGTGGCCTGGAAATCACAGTGTGTGTGAGGATGGACGACAGACTCATGAGGAACTAGAAATAAAAGTTTGGGATAGATCCGACACAAGACTGAGGAAGAGAACCAGGATCTAGAGCGCCGAGTTCTTTGGGCCTGTGCAGTGTTGTGTATGAAGTGCTCAGAAACAGAGAGGAAGAACAGGTCTGGTATAGACAGCAGCCTGCCCCGCCATCCGCTCGGGCCCTGCCACAATTGTAGTTCCCAAACAACACACAAGACGCTGCATTAATTATGAAGCTACTGGCCGTTTGTTTGTTTCTTGTTTGGCTAGCTCTGACTTAAGTGTTTAACCCATCTAAGTATTTCTCTTACCGGAGAAAAGGTCCGGACTTCTTATCCCTATGGTGGCTACATCGTGACTCCCTGTGTTTCTCCTACCCAGAGTCCTCCTGGACAACTAGTCCCACCTATCTTGCTTCCCTATTGGCCAACAGTGCTTTATTGACATATACACAGGACTTCTCCATCAGTCTGGGGAGAAAAGTAAATTAGCTATGAAGAAGTTGAATGTTAAATTGTATTTATAGACTAAGTGAACCTATGGGTAAAAGCGGTCCATCTGGGAAGGGGCCTTTCTCTAGGGTGGAGATCCTAGGTGGAGATTTTTCTGTTTTGAAGTCTTAACTTCTGGGAGATGATGAGGCGATCCAAGGGAAGGAGACTGGAGAGGAGTGGAGGTTTAGGTACCAAATACAGAGCAATGCAAAACCTCTCAGGACAGGCAGACCAAGTGCAGAGGGACAATAAAATAGGTAATTGAAAGGCAGGGCTGGGAAGATGGTACAGTCAATAGAGGGTTTGCCATGCAAGCTTGAGGTTGGATGCATAATACCCATGCAAAAATGAGATCAGTGTGTACCTCTAGTTCTGTTTCTGGGAATGCAGAGACAAGGGGGATCCCTGGGGCGTGGTGGCTAGCTAGTCTGGTCTAATTAGAAGTTCCAGGTTCAGGGAGACACCCTGTCTCAAAAACTATGGTGAAGAGTGATGGAGGGAGATACTCAAAGTCTACCTCTGACCTCTGCTTACATCTACCTCACTCAGACTAGGGCAGGCACACCGAATGACATGTACACATACACAAGAGCAAAGAAAAAATAAGCAGAAAAGGAAAACTACTGGAAGAAATGAAGGGGAAAAACCACCCTAAACTTCTGGTAGCTTGGAGGGTAGAAACTTTTGCTTGGTTTATTTTTGGATACTGACACTTGTTAGTATTCAGGCACCTGTACTGATCTGTCCTTAGGGTTCTGACAGGGTACACCCTAAGCTGCAGCCACTAAGAGCACCACCTGTGCACATTCACTACAGTCCCCTTTAAGGGGCCCTGCCTACCTCCCATCCTCCTCTCTTTCTTTCTGTCCCTCTCTCTGTGTCTCTCTCTCTGCCTCTCTTTCTTCTCTCACACTGTTCCTGTCCCTGGAGGCTGGTCTCCCCTCTCCCCCTCACCTTTTTATGATCCCTTTCCCTAATAAAAAAAAACTCCTTCACTTGAACTCTGTTGCATGGACTTTTTCTCTCTTGTGTCACTTTTTAAAAAACGACAACAACACTGACTAACTCGTGTCTCCTCCAAACTCAAAGTTTGAATCTGTATCTACCTGAGACTATCTCTATATGAAATGACCAGCCACCCCCCACCCTCACGCCTCCTACCCCCACCCCCGTTTTAGCAGTCATGACAGGCTACCATGTGCTCACATGACCTTGTCACTCCTGTCCTGGTCACTAGGAGGTCAGATGCCCTCCTCATGGCAAGGAACCAATCAGAAGTTAGCAGACAGGACAGTGCTTTATGACTCTGGGTGTGCTTTACGGACAAGTGCACAGCAGTGACATGCAGAGCACAGCAACCGCCCTGGGAGGACCTGTGGGCCATAACAACCAGTTGACCAACCGACACCGACCAGGTTGTTAAGCCTGGAAGCGCACCAATCCTGAGACTGTTTCATACCCCTAGACAGTCCCCTTACGCTGCCCTTTAAGATCCCCAGCTCACGGTTTCTTGGGGTCTTTCTCCAGCCATCCACCATGGTGAATGGATGAAAGGCCCGAGCTAATGGGGTTAGCTCGTTAAACAACAACAATAAAAGACTCTTTGCTTTTACATCGAAATGGGTCTCTTGGTGATTTTGGGGTTCAGAACTTGGACACAACACCTATAGAACCCTTAGGAGGCAGTTGAGGTTGAGTGAGTGATGTCATCAATCTTATTCATCCTTACCTAGAGGGAGTGGCACCTCTTTCTCTTTCTTCTCTTGCCCTCACTCTATAATGACCCAGCCGCACTGAAAAGTCAGGTGACTTGTGGGTTAGGAAGAGGGCCCTGCTCTCACATTTCAGTTTCCCTAACCAAGAAAGAGGAAATGCCTGCTGCTTGAGTTCCCTGCCTGTGACATTTTGTGATGGCAGCCTGAGCTGACTAAGACAGTACCCGACACTTCAGAGTTGCTCTTGGTAAATATAGTAATCAATACTGTTTCGGTGAACTGAATGAATGAGTCATCAGCCATTGGCATGATTACAGACTCACTAATATCTCAGTACAGCCTGGTTGCAACTCAGGGGGGCGGGAGAGAGGAGGGGCATTTGCCAGCTAGCATGAGGGTCCAGGGGACTCAGAAAGAGTGGGAGGCAGACATGGCTGTGACTAAATACAAGGAAAGGCTTAGACAAAGGCTCAAAACTCAAATGCTCTGCTACCCTTTGGCTTTTCTTTTTACCATTTGATGGGCTTGGCTCCGAAATTGGAGACAGTTCTTGGTTGATTGTGTAGTGTGTGTGTGTGTGTGTGTGTGTGTGTGTGTGTGTGTGTGTGTAACTCTCCTCACAGTAGATAAATCTATGTGAATTTAAGTGTATTTAGCCATTGGCTACTGCACTGCACAAAGGAGTAACCCTCTAAGCTGACAATGTGACTCCTCAAGTAAACAATAGATAAAAGAAGGACACTGTGTGACAATAATTGTGATAATTGCAACTCCTGTGTTACAGCACTCGCCATGAAAGCCCTTTCTGAATCACCTTCTTCCACATGCAATATAGGTAGATAGTATAAAAAGTTTGTACAATATTTTTTAAAAAGCTTCCAAGAAAAGGTAAGATGGAAGAGACTGAATTCTATTAAGCTGAACCTTGCCTCTGAATCGCTCGCTGATCTGCTATAGAGACTAGCTGTTATGCTTGGCAACCACCATTGGGAAGACAGAGTAGATCTGAGGTCACAGGACTTACTGGAGGACTTTGTATGAGTTACTAGTGGACAGATACACTTTCTTCATATTGGCAACAGGGTGGAATGATAAGGCGTCCCATTGGCTTCTGGTTACTGTGCATCCTGGCACGCTTCCAGGCTTAACAGTTTAATGCCTTCAAAGCCTGCTATCCTTAAAAGGTTTATGAATGAAAGTATGTTAGTAAAATTCAGGGGCTTTCAGGGGGTCCCACTCCAGGCAGCAGGCTTCGACTGAGGATGCTACAGCTCTGCATCCTGTTGCTAGGGGAAGCTGATGTGCACACTGTTATTTGAAAATGGGTTTATATGTGCTCCAATGGGTTGATCACCTGGGTCAGGTAGAAATAAAGTCCTTTATGGCAACAAATCAGCCTGTAAAGTTGGGGGATTGGTTAGAATAGGTATTAAGGGATGCTCTGGGTTGATTGGAATAGTCAAATAATCTAAACTTTGATTGGTTGTTAATGGTCAAATCTCTCCATGTTTGTCAGGCTGCTTACTTAACATATGTACATTACATTGTACATGGGTTTTGCTTCAAAAAAGCAAAACTCTAAGATCAAAGTCTAGAAGCCAATTAAAAAACAATCAATGCCCACACTATCTTTAAAAGGAGGAGCCCTTTAGAAGGGAACTCATTATACTTCTGCTTTAGAGGAAACCAGTGTCAAATCAGGACTCAAGGACAAGTTCTGAGCTTGCATGTTCCTGTGACTCCAGTACTCTGGAGGCTGAGTCAGGATGCTCATCATGGGTTTAGAGCCATCCTGGGCTACATGGTGAGTTTCAGGATAGCCTGGGCTTCAGGCTGAGATTTTGTCTTAAAAAGAAAAGAGAGAAAAGAAAGGACAAAGGGAAGGAAAGAACACACACACACATATACACACACAGACAGACACACACACAGACACACACACACAGACACACACACACACAGACACACACACAGACACACACATACACACACACATACATACACACACTTATAATCAGGGTGATGTTTAATCTGAACAGAGCTAACCCTCCCTTCTCAGTGCAGGGACCATGCTAGTCACACAAGCTATCATGTAGCTACAGCCCCTTTTATTTCTTTCGTGTAGAGGGACAATGTTCTTTGTAAATGTAAAAAGCTATGTCTGGTCCTATTCCTGTCTGGTTAAGAACTAAAATAGAAAGCTCTCTGGTGAATCATGCAACCAAGCATTGCCAATTTATGCCTCAAGATTAGATGGGTTTGAAGTCTGATTTTATGGCTCCAGTTTCTGTGAAGATCGGAAGATACCATCACAGCAGAAAACAGTTTGGAAAGTGCCAAATGGTCATGGGGTCACGTGGAAAGTTAGTTTTCAGAAATGGTCATTCAGACAGATGGAGGTGTTATTTTGTCATTTGAAGTATCTAGATAGGAAACTAGCCCATATTTGGTGACCTAACAATGACCAGACAGGATGGTAGGTATTCAAGTTCTCAGAGGCAGACCTTGTGTTTGAGTTGCTCCTCAGTGGGATGAGGTGAAAAAATAACTTCAATTCAGGGAGGACGGTGACAAATGGCTGAGACTACAGCTGGGGCTCAGAGGAGGGAGGGCATGGAGGATGACCATGGGGAAACCATGGTGCTTGGGCCAAACCTTAAGGAGGCATATGTGTTGTCTGACAAGCCAGGAAAGTGAAAAGAAAAAGAAGAAGGAGGAATAATAATAATAATAATAATAATAATAATAATAATAATAATAATAAGAAGAAGAAGAAGAAGAAGAAGAGGAAAGCTTTGGGAGTCTTTGGAACATTTTTCATTTGGCTGAGGTCCGAGCTATCTGTTGGAGGCGACAGGATAACAGGAGAGGTCTTCGAGAGAGAACGGCCTCGGCGCTTTAAGAAGCTGGGGTTCTTAAAGGAGCTGAGTTTGGACAGGGTAGACCCTGCAGCAGTGAAATGTCAGGCAGGAAAAGAAGCTGATGCCAGAAGCAGGGAAGAGACAGGGGAGGAAAGCAAGAGAAGGAGCCGTTCTTGGGAGGCAGCAGGAAGGGCTAGGGCAGTGTTGTGGGAAGGGAGAGAAGTTATGGGAATTGATAGCTACAGAAGGTAGAAGAACGTCATGCCCTAGAGGAAAAGATGA